ATTACTACGGAACAAAAAAAAGGTGGTAAGAATAAAAGAAGTCTGAGGTATGCTGGTTTAGCTGATCAGTTCACTGCTAAAATGGGTAAAAAGAAAAGAAATTCCATTGAAAGTAATACTAATGCCATGTTTACGGGAATGACCGTACTCCCTGGGGAAGAACAACGTTGGGAAGTGTGGCTTCATGAACAATGTGCCGTTTGGGCAGCCGGAGTGTACATGGCAGGTATAATAAAAACAACTTTCTTACAATTCATTACAATAACAAAAATATAGTATAAAATTTTGAAGAAAAAATCGATTTATATTACAGGTGGAAGAGTAACAGGTTTGCAAGAAGCTGTATGGGATGCAGCAAAATCGATATGTGACTCTTGTGGCTTAACAGGGGCAAATATTGGTTGCGTTAAACGCGGTTGTAAAGCTGTTACGCATTATCCCTGTGCATTAACGAAAGGTTGGCACTTGGATACTAATCAGTATATACCGAAGTGCAACCTTCATCGGGTTACGTGAAACTTCGGTGAGTTCGTCAATATAGGCTATTATGAAATAAATTATGTTCATTATTTTACAACTTATGGCTTTAATTTGGAGCACCGAATAATGATTAATGATCATAAGAAATCATATTCACATTTATTTATAAAAGAAGTATATTAAAGGATATGTCAAAAAATAAAAACAAAATATCTATATATATATATATATTTTTTTTTTTTCTTCATAAATATTATAAGAAATATTTAACACTTTAATCTCTTGTTCACTGTGTTTTATACATAATCAATATTTTTTTTTGAAAAATCAAGTCTAATAATTAATTTATATTTTTCAGCATTTAAAATTTTTGAGACGTTTTAAAATTACGCTTTGCATCATTCGATGCATAAGTGTGTTTGAAGTGTGAAAGTATAAATGTCAAATGTGTAAAGGACAGACGTATCGTAATTTACATACACGAAGTATCAATATGCTCGACAGAAATATCTTCCAATGTACAAGATGTTCAAACGAGAATGCTGTTACTGTCTTAAGAATTTGAAATGAAAATGGAAATTAACGGAAATGAAGAAATGGAAGTTCTTCTCGTTAATTAAATTCAATTAATTTTCTTGGCCTGTGGCCTTGAACAGTGGCCTTTTCGACCTAATGTAAAAGGAAGATTTTTTAATTTAAAATTTGTAGTATAGACGAATCGTTATTGAGGAACAATGTTAATCAAACAAGTATTTGCTTTTTTACTAATGTTTATGAAATTTGAAAACGTTACAAGTTTTTCCCTAAAACATCATGTACGCAGGAATAAAATATAGGGCATATTGTACCAAAATTTGAACAAAAAATCAGAATTCGGCAAAAAAATGAAAAAGCACTGAATTTCTTCTAAGTTGTATGTGTGTATATAAAATGGAATGGATTATTAATCAATTAAATTAATGGAATTTGAACACTCTTGACGAGTTTCGAAAGAAGTGTGGATAAGAAACATATAGACAAGTGTTCTCCTGTGAATGTAAGAAATCATCTGTAAATAACAAAGTTCTTATATGGAAAAAGTAATTATTATATTATTATATACAATTTCAATGATATTACAAGACATTTTTTCGTTTTTAAGAATCATTATTTTAGTAAGCATGTGTAGTTATGTTCTTTATTGCGGGAAAGTACATTTAGTGTAACAATACTTATTTCTATTATAATTTTTTGAAGATTAATTGTGACATATAAATCTTATGTAGGTGTAAATAAATAGATTTTCGCTCATATAATATTTCCCTTTATTTCTTAACCTTGTCTATTTTATAACTATACATTGAAATAATTTTTTTATTTAAAGGGAACGAGCTCACATGTTTACTTGAAGAGAGAACACTTGTAATAATTGTAATTATTGTTGTTAATATTATATTTCTAAGAAAAAGATCGACATTTGTTCTGGAAATATTATCTTCTCTTTTTCTGACATGTGACAATTATAACTTTACTGTATACTATAATTTATGAATGTGTGAAAGCAGTGATTAAGATTTAATAGTATATATACAATTTAGTGATTAAATTAATCGCTACTTATATTATAAAATTTATGGTAATTAATACTGATTTATATTATTTTTTTCATATTAATATTATTGTAATCATTTGCACCATCATTATCATCATGTCGTTTTCATCAAATTTGATAACAATATAAAGAATCGTTTTTATAATAACAAATATATGAACATTGATAATATTGATTCTCTTGATGTATCAGGGAGAAGTAGTAAAAAGCAGGAAAATTGTATAAAAATATATAGAGTAAAATGTACATAATATTAATTTGAGTAGGACAAATGTATATATGCACGAGCATATATACATATGTGTGCCTGCGTGCGTGTGTGGATGCGCGTGCGCGCGTGTGTACACATAATCAGCAAGTATGCTAAAAAAAAAAAAAAAAAAATGCCATCCCTCTTCAGAGTATGGCAAAGCAAGAATAATCATTTTTAAACGTTAGCTATATAAATACAAAAAATAAGTTGTCAAAGAAAAAAATTCTTTGTACATATATAACATATAGCAACAAATGTCTTGTAAAAAGAATTCGAAAAGAAAGCATTTTATTTAGAACTTTTAAATAGTTTATCTGTTTTAACGTAAGGTGATAAACAATTTAAAAGTGAACATATTTGGGTTCTTTTTAAACTCCTTACAGACATAGCTCGTTACTTTTACATGAAGGGCGGTCTGTGTACGATAAAAAGCAAAGAAACAAATAGCCAAAAAATACTGCTATTGAGTTTAATAAAAAAAAAAGTTAAATTGTAAACAAAACGCTTATATTATACAATTGTGTATGAAAGGGAAACAAAATTCTATCTTAGATAAATAATTGTAATATTAATACTTGTGATACAAAAATATTTCGGGATAGAATAGTGTGATTCCAATATATTCTTTCTTTAAAATAAAAAATAAAAATAGATTCCAATATATTCTTTCTAACTCTGCGTACATAGAGTACATACTATATACTTCTGTACAGTTCAGTTTTATGGTTCCACTGTAGTATTGTAAAACATATTAGTCTGTGGGAAAAAAATATGAATCAAGATAGAAGTTTTAGGAGTTTTAGAATTCTCTTTGTACGCATAGTTTATTAACATTTAACAAATTTTGGAAGTGACACGGAAAAATGTTTTATGATCTGTTTTGTATAAATGCTAAACTTATTTGGCTTGTAAATTGCGGAGATAATTTAAAACACTGATGCGCAAAAAATTTGAGAAATATCACATTGCCTAAGTAATTTGTGTAAAATATAAATCTGTAAAATAAAATTGTCACTTCGTGATACATGATGAAAGAGGTAATGGTAGTAATGTTCGCGAATTGAAAGTAGCAAAGAAACAATTATGTAATGTTAAAAAATTAATAGGTATTTTTATTCCTTGCCTATTTCTTAAGTCTAATTTAGTTTCGTATTTTCCCTCCTCTTTTCTGTTCAGTTCTCTTTCTTTTTTTGCTTTTACATTGCTTTCAAAAGCCACTTGTAGTTTTATACATTTTTTGTGACCTGGTTTAATATTAGTAATCAATAGAAAAAGAAAAGTACCAGATTTAATCTATTTAGTAATGTCAGGATAGTAGAACAAAATTCGCGGAATGTATTTGAAGTCGATACAATAATACAGTTAAATATATATCTTTGTGTAATATAAATATAATGAATAATAAAACATGGTATAAGTCACGAGTCAGAATAATTGCAGAATAACTGCAGACAATTTCAAAATGGCCCTTTAAACATGAATGTACAAAATTTAGAAAAAAAGACTATGGAATAAAATTCTCGTACCAATTTTGATTCCATTAATCAAAAGAAAATAACGAAGTATTACGTACAAGGAGCATGCAAATTTCAATTGCGTAATACAAATGTTTATGTACATGACATAAAAAGGATAGTATTATTTTAATCCGTAATATTTAATTTTTTTTTTTTGTTACAAAGCGTATTAAAATGAATCTTTGTAAATATATTTAAATACACTAAATCCTTAACCAAAATATACACTTTTGTATTGTGAAGATACCAATGAATTATAATTTTTTTCTTACATATTGCATTAATGTATAATTTAAGTGTCTACCAAAATAATAGTTATTTTATTTTATAATATATATAATATAACGTAATATCGCGAAGAGGATAAATAGATTTAGAATCTTCTCATATTCAGTAATTTTATTTCAATTAAAAATGATTTAAAGATAAAAACAAACTATGAAAAATATTCTTAATACGGAAGACACGAAATTTTACGGAAACTGTAATTTCTGTAACACAATATCGCTTTCAGAAGAAAATTGTAAAAAATTATATGTAAGCAAATATTTTATTTTAATTTTCAATTATTTATTCTTAATTTTGATATTTAAACTATAAATAGTAGAATATGTAGTGTATAACAACAAATATTTTGTTTTGTTATATATTACGAATTAATATTCTTTTAATAAAAATATATTGCAATAAAATAAACATATTTTATTTTATTTTTCATATCATTTAAAATGTGTCTATCAATTTAATTTTACAAATCATAATATTTTTTATCTTATGGTTTAATACAAGATCTTGAAATAGCGATAAAATGTCGCTTAGAAAGTTAAAATTTACGAGATGAATCTGCTTGTGTACGAAATAAAATTTGAACGTGCAAGTGGGAAAATCATATTGCGCTCTATGCGCCATCTTGAAATTCAAAGGAAGACTGAATGTTGTATATCTTATTCCCGATATATCAATGGTTTTAATCTTTCCGTCATTGGTCAGGGAACGAGAAAGTCTTCCCACTTTCTAGTTTCTAGTAGGATTCGCTTCTTCAGTATGCTACTGAATGCGGTGAGAGATGGTTGTGTTGCGTAGTAATGTTCGTATGGTGCTCAAGTATTCATGAAGTTTTGTGACTTTTGCATCGACATAGAAATTATGTCGACTCAAAATGGGTAGTTTACTAATGTTAGTGAAGTTTAGTGTAGTACTTCTCTTCTGTACTCTGGATTATACACGGGCTGACAACGAATTACAAGGTAATAAAAATCCTCTATACCTGTATAATGGTGTCTCATACATCAAACACACGTGGCTATCCTAATCTACATACTTATGTCATTTCTTGACATTTAATATTTTGGCGCCCTGATTTGTCGTTAGATCTCTCAATAGGATGCAAGCTGAAAGAAATAAAATGTTTTTCGATGGTGTAATTTGAGTCTTATTCTCGTAGATATAAATTTTATATCGTACAAAGTACAAAATTACTTTTTAAATCGTATTTTTTTTAGCGAATTTTTATTTATGTAAATAAAAATAAATTCGGATATTAGTTTGCATCGTGTAACTGTGCTTATGTTATGAAAAATACTCTTTTTCTCTGTATATGAAACGCAACAGTGACTGAGTTCATCTCGAAGTTAATTGTTGTACAATGCTTGCGAGTTCATAGGCGCACTATACCAGAAATCCTCCTTTCATATCAACTCTGTTTCCTTAGTGCTCGTTGTAGTATTGTTATATCAACAATTATTTGTGAATTATTTATTATTATTTATTAATAATTATTTTCACAAAATAACACTTGGATTATAAAAATAATTAAAAGTAATTAATTTTGAAGTAATAGATATACATACATGCCATATCGAAGTTCACGTAATTTGAGATATCGATACATTTTCGATATTCTGGAAAATTTCAAATGATCACCTTTGTTTGAAATTTAACGTGACATAACAAAATTTTAACAAAAAATTTTAATTAGAAAATGTATATTATGGTGACATGAAAATTTTTAATGATTTTATGTAAAATACATACTTTTGTAAGTACTTCCGAGTTATTATCATGTTTCCGTAAAAGCTTTCTAGTGTTTAGGAAAATTAATACTCTTGTCAGTTTGCGTATAAGAATGTTGGGGTAAAAAAATTCTGACCAGTTTATGAGAGTTTAAATATCTTTACTAAAAATAATTTTTGAACTAGGACGTCAATGCACTTTAATGTTGAATAACTCTTTAAGGAAAGGAAAAAATTAAAGAATCTCAAAGAGTTCGAGCGCGTTAATCAAAGTGTTATATAATTATAAATTATCATGTAATTACAATTACACGAATTACACACAAATTACAACCTATACAAATTTTATATAAATTCTTCGTCACGTAATTAGTTATCAAAGATAGGATTTGAAACAATTGATATCGCCATTTACTTGAAAATTTTACAAAGATTTTTCCTATCATTCCATTTGAATAATGCCGGATTACATACTAAAAAAAAAAAGTATATATCGTATATTAGATTGTAAGATATAATAAGTAATAGAAGTGTGCCATTAATCAAGCCAAAGGAGGAGATTAAACCGATGTTTGGCTTGTTTGTGCAAGTGAAAGGAGACGAAGATCGTTTTTACGTAGTTGGAATACGGTTGTGTGCAGGTTCTCTAGGTTAGAGAAGGCTGTGCTCATCGGCCCTGACCAGGACGGAGCACCACCGGGTACACAGGAGCGTTGATGTAGGGGAAAGGTATAGCTCTAGAATAGAAGTGCATCTATGAAACCTTCTAGAAGCAAATTGTGGCATTTGCCGTCACTTCTAACACACATGTC